ATGAGCGCCTTCTGGTGCTCCTGCTCGAGGCCCGAAAGGTACCCGGCCTGCTCGGCGAGCATGCGCTCCTTTGTGACAAGCTCCTTCTTCAGCATGAAGCTCTCTTCTTCGAGCTCGAGCGCGCTCGTGTCGCCGCCGACGCGCTCCAAGAGACGGCTCTACATGCAGCCATGAGCCTTGAGGAGCATGGCGCAAGCAGCGTACCCGCAGGTGGGCGACCTCCATCTTGAGGTCCATGCGGTCGCGCTCGATCTCGTCCAGGCGCGACTTGGCGCTGCCGACGAGCTCGTAGGCCTCGGACCCGCTTCGGTCCATCGCTCTCTCCCTGTCTGCGCCAAGTTGCCCGTCATTGGTCGACGGCCGTGACTTGAACTACGTATGTCTGGTTCTATTCCGTACTCCGTTTATCAAAACCGACAGGCTTGAAACCCGACTACTAGGAAGGCCCGAACGAGGTCACTGCTTTTAGTGTGCCCTACGCGCAGTGAACAACGAGCCCGTACCCTACTAACAATGAATATCTAGTCCGTAGGCGCAATGCGTACTTGCAGAGATAGCACACGGCGTCCTTTCTCGGCGTGCCATCGCATTTCCATGTCGGCTAGAAGATACGTAACACGGCAAATAGACAGTGTCTTCGCAAACAGTGCTTGAGCACTATCCTGATGCGTCTTTTATTAATACGTGGTCCTCACCGGGTCGCGTCTGTGGAGCGCGGTTTTGTGTCTGCTCCATGTCAAGAGTCAAATCCTAGGATGTGAGCCGTCCCGTCCTATTATACTTGCAGCGCGATTATACAGTAGTAGAGAGTGCAGCACTAAGCCACCCTGCGATTGGGGGGGCTCCGAGGGGACATTGCTTTTTGGGACGACGACGACGCATTTGCATTTGCACCCAAGACTTTACAGTCTCGACTTGCACGGGACGGACGAATGGAGATCCACTTTGGAGTCAACCGTCACACCACGGCAGGCGAGCATGGAAGTTGCGACGAAACGACGAACGCGCGTCATACATATATGCGTGAGCCACCATCCCAGCAGAAACACTCTGTATGATGAGTACATGCGTTTGCCTTCTCCCTTGGCATTATCATCTTCCCATGCACGTTCTTCCTGGCTCAACTTTGCTCGACGACACGGTATGCATGCGGTCGTGCACATGTCGATTAAAATTACGGTGCCGGGTCGATTCGATCCCAGGGCCACTTGAACGGATCCTATGGATTCGCTGCGTTGGCAGTCGACTCGAATAATCGCAGGCTCACCAAATACATGCCAACGATGTTGGTGGCACACCGGGCCACGCGGCCACCTTGCCGCTAATATAGAGCCGATGTCGGTCGCGTCACTTTTTCTTATACACTAACAGTAAAATAATGCAGATACGAAATGCGATACTGTAAAATAATGTAGATACGAACTGCGATGCACGCGCCAAGGAGCTTCTCACGCTCTTATCGTCCTGGCATGGGGTTATAACTCGTCCATCTTGACGCGTGTATTACCAAAAGAATAAACCAGTTTATGCCCTCGACGTTTAGTGACCGTGGGTGAGACATCCTGTCCCTTCAAACGCAACTCGCATTGATCTCGGCGCCATGTTGAGCGTTTTAAAACGAGAGCTTGACTCGGCGCTTGTATTTTTAGGCGCGCCCGTTGGTCGCAAGTACAGTGCCGCGCCAAGGACCGCGCATGCTTCTCGACCACAAGCCGACGCGCATCGTGCCGTCGGTGGACTCGCTCTCGGACACGAGCCCGCGCATGCCCAAGCCGACCGAGCCGGTGCACTTTCACGCGATCACGGCGCGGTTTGTGAACCACCCCAAGCTTGAAAAGCTGTATCGGGAGAAGGCGGTGAAGGAGTGGTCGCCGCGGTCGTTCAAGATCGTGCTCGCGTTCCTACTCCTCTACTTCATCTTTGTGGCACCGAATTTGACCAACCTCACGTCGTCCGACCCGTCGATCCGAGAGCAGTCGAAAGAGTACTTTCTCTATGTCGTGCCCTCGATGGTTCCAGTGCCGTTCTTG